AAAAAAAAAAAAAAACGAACAGACAAAATACAAGTCACCCCTTTTACTCTGCCTCCTTTCGTAACGTGCAAGTGGGCCGTTAAGGCACACGGGGATGTGGGCAGCTGGCGCTTAACCATCATCAACGTGGCCAGCCTTGTACGTGAGAGGCACAGTAAGAGGGATGTGTAAGAACAAATAAACTGACAGGCCTCCCAACGATAATAATGGTGAATATAGTCAAGAAAATGACATAATTGATCTATTGTCTATCATATTGCTAACTGTCTCATTGTTGGAGAACTCCCTCTCAAGTATGCTGCATTGTTTGCATAAAGGTCAGGTTCGGCAACACTGTTTCTTTGCTGGATTGATTCATCTCAAGCATGCTCCATCTTCTACAATAGAGGTAAAGTTGCTGCGATTTTGGATATACTCATCTGGGTGGAACAGGGCATGTTGTGGTGAACATTCACGACACACACACACACACACACACACACACACACACACACACACACACACACACACACACACACACACACACACACACAAACACAAAGTCTTTGTAAATTGTCTTTCCCCTGTTCCTTCTGAATATGACAATATAGCACTCCACGTTGTCCACCGTGTGTTGGCTGTGTTGCTTTCCCTGTGTTCTCCTTGATCTCCAAGTGCGATGATGCACTTTGAGATGTGCCAAACAGTCCGAGAATACTGTTTGTTTGAAGGTGCTTGTGACACTATTAGGGGTGCTGCCGATGCCCATGTGACCATGTTCAATGACGATGACAGAAATTTGTGAAAGTGACTCCCTGACTCTTGATGACGGCATGAACCGACAGTCTCTAGAGTTGTATTTGTGGTGTGAGTAGGTGATGGTCGGCTTTTGCCCGTCCTGTACATGTAAACTACCTTGACGGTGCTGCCCTCCTGCCTGCCTGATCGTGCACTTGCCTGTTATTGTCTTGCTGCTCGTCCACTTGGTTGATGTTGCCTTGTTGTACTCCTGCCCGGCTGCTTGCTTGCCCGAACCGTTACTTGGCTTGTTGCTTTGCTTCCTGCCTTTACCGCATTTCCTCTTCATAGCCTTTTTTAAGGAATGGGGATATTTGCAGTACACAGAATTATTGCGTCAATGCTTATACACCCCTACGCTGTCACAATAACCCTCCCCCTACATCCTACACTGTAAACCCTCCCTACACCCTACACCCTACACCCTACACCCCCTACACCCTACCCCCTACCCCCTACACCCTACACACTATGTCCTACACCCTACACCCTACACCCTACACCCTACGCCTTACACCCTACACCCTACACCCTACACCCTACACCCGACACCCGACACCTGACACCCTACACCCTACACCCGACACCCGACACCCTACACCCCACACCCTAAGCTCCGCACCCTGAAACTTAAACTGCACAATTACAACCCAAACCTCCAGAACCAAGCTGTATGCCGAGAGCAAGCTGCTGCTGCATGACGTTTCTAGTGCGAGGTCCTCCAAAGCGAGCATCTGACTATATGTTGGGAAAACTTCAATGTCATTGTCAGGTATGGAAAGGGCTAATGCCCGTTGCAGTAGCACTTTGTGTTATGGAGAGGGACCTACGGCACATTACCAGGAGTGCAGGTGAGCCCAATTCACAACAAGCTATCTACAAGATTTCTCCAAGCTTCAACGTGCTTCGTGTCCAATTGCAAATGCCGCCCTGCAGAAAAGAAGACCGCCCTTCGATTAACAACTTTTGAAAGTTGAAAAGAAAAAAGTTGTGAATCAGTCGTTATGGAGGACATATTCTTCAATCTTTGACGTGGTCTTCTTTTCCACTTGTCACCCCTGATCCTATGACCAATCAACAACTGACCACGCTAAATTCCCTCCTCCTCTTCCTATTCTCCCTTTTGTTGTCTTAGCCGTCCTTCTCCTCCACCAGTGCTTCTCTTGTGCTCTTCCAGTCAGTCAAACATATACAAACTAAAAAAACAAAAAAAATCAAAACAAAACACACACACACAAAAAAAAAAAACGCATACAAACTGGAGTTTGGAGACTTCAACAAGCTGAAGGGTCGCAGGATGAGCATAGAGTCATGGACACAAGTGCCTATCGTCTTCCCCCGAACATAACCGCCCTAATAATGAATGCATACAAGCTATATTTCCGGTCAGGTACAGCCGAAATCGTGTGCGTTGTGTTCGGGGGAACACGGTAGCTACCCCCAAGATCTGGAATGCAAAGAGATGTCCAAACTAGAAATGGTTTTGCCTGTCACTTCGGGACATCCGTTAAAATTGGAACGATACAGAGAAGATTAGCATGGCCCCAGTAGAAGGATGACACAGATAAATTGAGAATTGTCCAAAATAAAGAAAACAACACGCATAAAGCCAGAAATGGTCCTGATTAAGCCACCAGTACTTCCTAAAGTTGTGCCCGTATACAAGCCACAATTTTAGGAAATGTACAGGCCACTACAGGAGCACCCAAATTCATCCGACCAGAAATGTTTCTACTCTATTTTTTTCTGCGGCGGATAGCTGGGCCAAGTACTGGTGGTTTAAAGAAAACGAAGGAAAAAAAAAGAAATGCCCTTGCCTACCTGGTCCTGATGGTTGAATTGGGCACAAAAAAATGCACGAATATGTGTGTTAATAAACAGACCCCAGTACACGATGACAGTGACATCCCAATAACTCTGAATTACCTGGTGCCTGCCAGTTTAATGATGATACCTCAAGGCCATTGCCCTTTTTTTTTTCTTTTTTTTTTCATCCTTGCACAGGGGCCATGCTAATCTTCTCTGTATCGTTCCAATTTTAACAGATGTCCCGAAGGACATTGCCCTTTTTTTGGAGAAAAGAAGAAGAGGCAAAGAGAGAAAAAGCGGCAGGCTTCAGATCCGCGAAATCTGCAAAAAATCAGTTACCTTAGCCGCAGTTCTCTTCTCTTTCCGCTTTTTCTCATGAAAGGATTTCACTCCTGTCAGTCTGGTCCCAGTCCCAGTCCCAGTCGCAGTTCCAGTCCCAGTCTCAGTCGCATGTACCATATTCCTGAGTCCCAGGTAGGTTAGTTGCACCCCCTTCCTACCAGGAGTGACTCTCATCCCCGCAGCACCTGGTCGCAGTGGTGCATTTGCCTCCCGCCCAGGTGCCTTGGGGACGCAGGACCCTGAGTTCGAAGGGGTTGCACTCTGACGCAGCAGCCTGGTAGCTCCGGTCCAGACTGATACTCCCGGGTGTGACAAGGTCTCTCTTCTCCCCCTTCCCTGTGAGTCTGATCTTGAGTGATGTCTGAGTTAGTGGGTGTGCCCGCTGTGCCGACAGGTGGGCGGAACCCGGCGCATGAAGCCCCCTGCCGGACTTCCTCCCTGGGTCATATCCCCGACACCCCACAACCCTTTTTAGTTTCAGAAGGCCGACGTACGAAGATTCCGGTAGGTACCGGTAGGCTTAGGTAAAGTCTGTAGAAACCATCAGTGGGCTCTTTTGTCAGTCGGTCCAGTCAGCAGCAAAGTCCCAGGAAAGTCCGCAAACTTCCAGAAGCCACAAATAAAGGAAGAGGGTACCAGACCATAGCCGTTAGAGGAAGTCCGGAAGGCAAATCATCGGGTACAAAACTGCACTTGTAGAAGTCGTCAACACATATTTACTTGTGCCACCAGCCGGAAGCGCTGCTCTGCTATTTTGGGATACCTGCTGTGCGCTGCAGTAGGAAATAGTTGACGGTGCTGAGGACCAACAGCCATAGCTAGGTTGAGGGAGAGCGGGAGTGAGTGACTTCGAGAGGTATTCAGAAAGGACGCGCGCGCGCGCGCGCGCGCGCGCGAGAGAGAGAGAGAGAGAGAGAGAGAGAGAGAGAGAGAGAGAGAGAGAGAGAGAGAGAGAGANGAGAGAGAGAGAGAGAGAGAGAGAGAGAGAGAGAGAGAGAGAGAGAGAGAGAGAGAGAGAGAGAGAGAGAGAAAGAGAAAGGGAGAGGGAGAGGGAGATCGTACTTGAGAGAGCTTGCGTGGGGGGCATAGCCTCCTGCCATGTGAAAAGACAATTTTGTTATGATCCTGGCCAATTTCGAAGTACACATACATCAGAAAGTAAATCGTCCAATTGCAAAAAGAAATGGATGAACTTGAGAGGAGAGAGAGGGAAAGAAGAAGAAGAAGAAGAAGATGATGTGCACCAGCATAGACCAATGATAATGCTCTTCTTCTTCGCCAACCACTCTCCTCCTCCTTCTCTCCTCCCCTCTTATTCAATCAAGAAATAATAATAATAATGTTGAATGGCTGAACGAGAATCAATGTCCGAATCCCTCTTCTACCGCAGGTACACACATGAGGTCCACCATAGCCATGGCACCCTTCTCCTTCCTCTTCTTCGAAGGCCTAGGCTATGGTGGGCTGCTAGGGCCTTGCCCTGATGTGCAGAAGACAACTCAAGCAGCTATGGCTGCTCTAGCTCAGGCCGCCATGCCTGACTCTGCCTCGAAGCTTCTTGGTGTAGCTCTACCCCCGCTGGGGCCTTCTTGCTGCAGCGCCCACCAAGGTGATGAAGATGGCAACCACCATAGCCAGGTACGTACCTCTGGCGCTCCCCCTTCCTAGTCCTGGTCTTCTTCCTCCTCCTGTCCTTGCTCCTTCCCCAGCAGCGCAGCTGAATGCCAGCGCTGCTCCAGCCAGCACTCCAACCAGTGTGTCGCCAAACGTGCACACCAACAATGGGGAGGAGCACCTTGCTCCTCCCGGAGATATAGCGGCCTGCTTGCCTCTTGGCGAGTGACGTCCTAGGCCGCGTGGCCTCCATGCAACCAGTACCTCCTCCCTTTCGGAGGGAAACATCATTGCAGACTCTGATATTGCCCGTACAGGCCCTAGACTCAGACTGGTTGGACTGGTACCCGCCTAGACCTAGCCTACAACTACTGGGCCTCTAAAAATGCCAACTTTTGTCTTCTTCTGCTCGGCCTCGAGTACCCGGCACATCTACCTCTACTTGGTGTGGTACCGGCCTACCTGCTACCAGAGTGTTTTCCGCTGCTCCAAGTGTTGCGGGCCTCTCTCCCCGCCACTTGAGTGTTTTCCCTGCTGCAACCCTCAATGTCACGGCCACAGGTAAGTACCGGCCCTTCGGGCCTTCCGAACAACCAAGTGCCCTTCTGGGTCACACACGCACTCAAGCGGACAAGCACTCAGACAGGCATGCAGACCAGCAAGCATGCACACACACAGACTCAAAAAACTCAACAACAAGTTGGAAACTCAGGAAGGCATACATTCCATGAGCAAAACTCAGAAATCAGCTGTGTCCCTCAGTCCGTGTTTGGCAGGTCATTACAATTTTGTGTTATTGAGTTCAGTGGCCAAGACTATCTTTGAGGTTCCATCTCCCGTGTGCTTCCTATGGTGTGCATGTGGTGTGAACGTGTCGTGCATGGATGATATCAAAGCGCTGAGTTTTTTTACAGCACTATTTACTAGATGTAGAGGTACGACATGTGTCATTCATCTACAATACCCGACATCTAGAAGTCATCCCTGAGGTGAAGAAGAAAGTGTTTGCTTGATCGGTTTCGTCATTGTTTCTTGATTGTTTCTTGGTCTAACACTTGTCTATGATCTGCTAGGAGTGGCGCTGACCGCATTTTGGGTCGGAGCGTTAGCGACTGTTATTGGAACTGTGGTATCGTACTTTCTGGTTGGCCGGTCTCTTGGGAGTAATGGTTGGAAGGTAGGAAGAGAAAACACCTAACCCTAACTTCCCTTTGACGATCAACCAAGCTTCGGTCATTGACAAGGAATCGCTCCACTACATTTATTTATTTTTTTCCGTACCCCACCGTTCTACACACACTGGCTTCTGCTTAACTGCAGCCCCTCAGTCTAGGGACACCTGCTACTGATTATGCAACAACAAGTGAAAGAAAGAAGAGGGTGTTTTTTTTTTTTGTTTTTTTTTTTTTTGTTTTTTTTTTTTTGTTTTTTTTTTTTTCTGTAGGAAGAAAGTAGGAGGCAAGAAAGTTTGGGGCATGAGATGAACAGTATATTCAATATCACTCCAAACTTCTGTCGAAGTATATGAGCTATTGTCTAGTGAAGTAGGCAAAGCAAGCTCAACTGGACGCGCAAGGTCATTCTCCACTGAAGGGAAATGCATTGCAAGTTGCAACAGCAGATTTGTTTGTGCATTCTCAACGAGCTTCACCCATTTCTCGGCTGTGTTATGTACAGAGCACACGGCACACGGCACATTTTTTTGTTTCCTTTCTTTTTCTTCCTTCCCCTCCCCCCC